TAATAATAATAATAATAATAATAATAATAATAATAATAATAATAATAATAATAATAATAATAATAATAATAATAATAATAGTAGCAGTAGTAATAGTAATAGTAAAAGTAGTAGTAATAATAACAAGAAGACTGGAAAGGCTCGACGTAACTTTTTCAGCCTTCCCTTGCACCCTCCTTCCCCCGGAAAACTAAGCCCCTTTCGTCCTTTGGTGGCATCCAGAGAGAGAGAGAGACAGCCGGGATCAGAAAAGGCAAGCCCCAGACTCCCAGGACAAGCCAGGGCTGGTGCTCGGGAGGGAAGAAGGGGAGAGAAGGAAAGCGAGCTCCGGACAGCCCCGTGGGTTCGCTTGCTCTTTACCTGGCACCCCGTTGCCGCCGGCAAACCTGTCAAGGTGGAGGATCGCCAGAGCCAAACACAAGCAAAGCCGCGCAAAGTCCCCAGTCCCCATGCTCCGGATCGGATTCCGCGCAACCTTGCGGGCTTTTTTTTTTTTTTTTTTTGCTGCTTCGCTTAAAGGGGAGACGCGCTCCGGGCTGGCAGAGGGCAGCCACAGACAACTGACGCGCTGACAGCATCCCGCTGATTCGCAGATGGGACAGCCCGGTGGGCGGGACCGGAGGGGCGGAATGCCAATCGCTCCTCTCAGGAGGAGAGGGGGGGAGGGGGGAGGAGGAGGGGGAGGGGCGGCCGGCCGCTGTCTGGGTCTCCTCTCTCTCTCTCGGTTCGGAGGCCCGAGGGACGCGACGGGACGGGATGTTGCGCGCACCCGGGAAAAGTGTGTGGGGGGGGGGGGGGGGAGGGAAAAAAAAAAAAAAAGAAGGGAGACCTGCAAGCTTTGAGAACTTTAGTCGCATATAGATGCACCCCACTGTTTGGAGTGGGATGGGGTGGTGGGGTTTGAGGGGAGGGGGGGGATGCAAATCCTTTGCATGCCACAGACTGAGGGGCAAACAATTAGCTCTTCCTCGGGCTTAATCGTTAGGTTAGGAGGAAGGTGTCCCGTTCCTCTCCCCCCCCCCTCACGTTTAAGAGAAATAATGCCACCCCCACACACACAAGAAAGAGGGGAGAGGGGAGAAGTTCTGAATGCAGCATGAAGCTTCCCTGCAAGCCATGCTCAGGGAGGACTAGCCTCAGGCAAGGTCCCTTATTTATTGTTGTTATTCTGGTTGCTAGGGATTTGGGGGGAATTTTGGGGAGAAGAGGTCATAAAAGTCAATATGGCGGCTGTGACCATGCAGTTTGAACTGTACACACACGCACACCCTTTCGGAGATGGTGAGGTATTTGTCTCTCTCTCTCTCCTCCCTGGACAACCCAAATGAGCGCATAATAAGAGTAAGCCAATTCCTGGGTTGTGAGAATTACCCATTCCTGCCAACCGAGGTTTGCCCAAGTCTTGTTCAGTATTTATTTATTTATTTAGTCAAATATGCATTAGATAACAGGTATAAGAATAAACATGATTATTAATACAAGAAATGGATATGAATAAAAAGGGTACATTAGGACAGGGACGGTAGGCACGTTGGTGCCCTTATCGACCTCAGGAATGGGGTGAGGTCAACAGTAGACAGTCTGAGGTTAAAGGGTTTGGGGGTTTGGGGAAGAAACCACAGTCAGGTAGTGTATTCCAGGCATTGACAACACTGCTGCGGAAGTATAATATACAGTATAGTATACTATAAATATAGGTATGTGCATATATAGTATAATATACGGTATAGCCCTTTTTTTGTGTGTGTGATTTTTGACACCAAGAAGAGATGCTTTTGCTGGCACAGAAAACACACACACACACACCAAAGCCGGGTGTGGCTGAAGAACCATAAGTAGCAAAAGTGGGCGCCCCTTGTGTGGGAAAGGTTTTGGGGGATTGTAGAAAGTCTTCTGGAAGGGCAAGAGCATTTTTCCTAACCAAACAAGCTGAGCTCCCATCCTCTCCCAACTCCAGAGGTGCCTGCCTGCCTTGTTCTTTTGAAGTGGATTCCCACAATCGGACCGTGTTCATTCCCCTTGGTTTTTGTAGGCTAAATGTCACATCAAGGACTTTTATTCAGATCCAGTTGGTCTCTTTCTACAGGATTTAGAGTGGGACCACTCCTATTTTCAGGGGCTCTTCAACTTCTGTTCCCCCCCCCCCTTAAGTTTCAGTGAAAGCCTGTTTTGTAAAATAAACTAAAATAAATGCTCCTCTCAGGCTACAGGCTAAAGGCAGAGGGGCTTTGAAGCCGCACAGTCCAGAAACTCAACAGCAAATCTCCTTGACAACACTAAGAGGGATTCCTCTTCCCCCCTCATGGAGCAGACTAAAAGAAAACTTTTTCTATTCTTTTTTTTTTTTTTTTGCTTTGCCTTCAGGCTCATCTAAGCTGGAGCTGCTGCCTTTTCCACTTGCTTTGGGTCATTACCATTAATACCAGCCACTAGATTTCCATAACATTTGGAGAGAGCTAAAAGGAAGAGGGGGGCATATTTTAAATTTCCTTCCATGTTAACAAGCTATTCTTATTAATTTTAATGAGGCTATACCAAATTGCCAGGTTTCGTTGATCAATAAAATAATTCTGTGTCAAGTAAAGGAGAAAGAGATTTCAAACACAAGCGCCTATCTTTTAAATAGCCCTGGGTCCAAATGCTATCAAAATGGGCAGGCATTTTGTTGCTTTTCATTCTTTTCCCCCTTTTTGGCACTTTCTATACTGGAATGTGTACCTACATTATTTTTAGAAATATGCTGGGAATTTAAAAAAAAATAGAAAGAAGCTGGGATAGGCAAAATAGAATAAAATGACCTGATACATGGATGCCTTGAAAAAAATGTTTTAAGAGTACTTGTATTAAATTGGCAGTTTCCAAGTAAATTGAATATGTTAGAGACGTATATACTGTTTATTTTTCATTTCTTGTCTTCATTTATATTTCTGCCTATAACTCAAGACACTTTTCCAAATGCTTCAACCTCTCCTTGGTGATACAAGAATACATTTTTATTTTATTTCTTTTCAAATGTTTTCTGTTCTGCATTATTCTTTACATTGGTGCAAAAATGCACAAAGAAGCACTTGTGAGTTTATGGCTGACTTACCACTCTGAAAATGTTCAGCCTAGTCCCCTGGGAAGATTCCCTGATACCTTAGAGCTCCATCTAGTGAATTTCAAGACATATGCAAGAAGTTCATGGTTTCAAAATATATGTTTAATTGAATCTATCATCTATTAATTATGTATCTAATTAGCAGATGTCAAAATGCAGTCTGGTTATGAATTGGGGGTTATGATAATCAAGCTGGAATATGTTATAGAGAAAGGCCATTTCAGATTTTCCCAGTTCAGCTAACTTAAATCATAATGGTACTTCAGTGCCAAATCAATTAATGGCAAAGTGGTCACCCAGGACCTGATTATGAATCAGTACATATGCTGATCTGGCTTGTAGTATGGAGACTGATAAATTGTTTAATAAAAGTGACTTACTTTATATGCGGCCAGAATCTGAAAATAACATTTAACACAGCACAGTGCTTAAGTAAAATGATTCGAATGAGATCGGCATATGTGGGACTGATTGAGGTAGATTGTAGGGGTGATACCAAAATACAATTTTATCATATTGTACTTATCTATATATATTCAATTATTGTATTTTATTCCAATTTCATTTTAAACTGTATTTTATTGCATTTTCATTTTAAATCATATTTGATTCCAATTTCATTTTAATTTGTATTTTATCAGATTTTAGTAATAATTTATGTCTGGAACTCTGCACTTTGATATGGCCCAAGGGCTAATCAATAAAGTAAAGTAAAATAAAATTTAGTAAAAGTGTTTATATATTACTTTCTGGCATATCCAAAGGGAGGGGCTAAAGAATTCAAAGTGATGGCCACAACCAAGTGATAAAAGCTCTGCACAGCAAACTCCAGGTTTTGATTGCATGGTTGTGACCATCACCTTGTTTAATACTTGGGATGGAATGTAGATCTATATTTTTTGTTGTTGAATTGTGAAGTCGTGTCCGACTCATTGCAAGCCCATGGACAACGTTCCTCCAGGCCTTCCTGTCATCTACCATTTTCTGGAGTCCATTTAAGCTCACACCGACTGCTTCAGTGACTCCATCCAGCCACCTCATTGTCTGTTGTCCCCTTCTTTCACCCACAACTGTTCTCAGCATTAGGCTCTTCTTCAGTGAGTCCTTCCTTCTCATGAGGTGGCCAAAGTATTTGAGTTTAATCTTCAGGATCTGGCCTTCTAAAGAGCAGTCAGGGTTGATCTCTTCTAGGACTGACCAGTTTGATCACCTTGTAGTCCAAGGGACTCGCAGGAGTCTTCTCCAGCACCAGAGTTCAGAGGCCTAAATTCTTCGGCGCTCAGCCTTTCTTATGGTCCAACTTTCACAGCCATACATTGCAACTGGGAAAACCATAGCCTTGACTGTATTATTTAATGCATTATTTAATTTAATTTAATTATTTAATGCATTATTTTTAATGACTATTATTTAATAATTATTGAATTATTTGATCTGTATTATTTAATGCATATTTACTCACCCATTTGAATGTATGCATCTGAAGGTGGGTGCTCAGGATAAAGTCGGAATCATGTTGGTGTACAGTCCAATCTGCCGTTTATTAGTTTCTCTTCCTGCATTAGCTAGATTGATCTCAGAGGTTGGCTGGGGAATTCTGGGAGCTGAAGTCCACAAGTCTTAAAATCGCCCAATTTGGAGATCCTTAAGGGATGCAGACATAAGGATGTGAATGAGAACTTTGAAAAGGAAGACAAAAACATGCCTGAGAGATTTGTTCTCTTGTTTGTTCTCTCTTTTCAAAGTATTTTTCCAGCTTCTCTTTCTTCTCAGTTTTACTTCATTCCTCTACTCCTATCTATCTCTTGCCTTTTCCTGACAACTCTTTCAATGATCCCGTTAAAAGGCAGATTTTTAAAAAAAAGTCTCAGCCAAGCTGAAAAGAAAGGAGAACAGAAATCTAAGATAATCCAACATTGTTAAAGACCTTCGGAGAAAATATAGTAGGAAACCAGATAATCTATTTATGATGGTGGAGTTGTATTTCTGTTTAAAAGTATCATACTTTTAAAATGATGCATGTATCTATTGTTAATTAGCACATCCATGTCAATACATAAGTCTATTAACCTTTTTAACCTCTTTAGGAGAGATTTGTTTCCATCTTTGGGGAGTATATTTTTCTCCAATAATGCTTCCCATAATTCCATAATTCCAATTGCTTGTTTTGCTGAGCATGTTGCAGTATATTTCTTATCTCACTAAATCTCTCTTTATTTTTCTGTGGATTCACTTTATTATCTATCAGTCTGAAGTTTCAGTTTTGTCTTGAACTACATTGCCTGCATGACTGTGTTCCAGATTCATCTCTGTGAAGGGTGAGGAACTGGATCCTGTGTAGCTACTATGGTTTGTACCTCTTCAAGCTGTGATTGCAAAATGACGAAGCACTGTCATTGCTCTAACAACATTGATTTGTGTCAGAGTTGTATTAGGGCAATGGA